GCTCTCCACAATTTCCTGTCCTTTGTAGCTCTTAATAAATTTTGTCTTTTTGTTATCTCCCCTAAACCTTGGTTTGCCATCCATTTACTCAAGCTCATTCTTTTTCTTCTTCTTCTTCTTCTTCTTCTTCTTCTTCTTCTTCTGTGTCCCTTCAGGATGTAAACAATCATAGCTCTCCACAATTTCCTGTCCTTTTTAGCTTTCAATAAATTTTGTCTTTTTGTTATCTCCCCTAAACCTTGGTTTGCCATCCATTTACTCAAGCTTATTCTTTTCTTCTTCTTCTTCTTCTTCTTCTTCTTCTTCTTCTTCTTCTTCTTCTTCTCCTTCTTCTTCTATGTTCCGTCTCCCTTCAGGATGTAGACGATCATGGCTCTCCACAATTTCCTGTCCTTTGTAGCTCTTAATAATTTTTTCTTTTTTTTTATAAGCCTCTAAACCTTGTTCCGCCATCCATTTTACTCAAGCTCATTCTTCTTCTTCTTCTTCTTCTTCTTCTTCTTCTTCTTCTTCTTCTTCTTTTTCTTCTTCTTCTATGTTCCGTCTCCTTTGGGATGTAGACAATCATGGCTCTCCACAATTTCCTGTCCTTTGTAGCTCTTAATAATTTTTTTTTTTTTTTTTATCGCCTCTAAACTTTGTTCCACCATCCATTTACTCAAGCTCATTCTTCTTCTTCTTCTTCTTCTTCTTCTTCTTCTTCTTCTTCTCCTTCTTCTTCTATGTTCCGTCTCCCTTCGGGATGTAGACGATCATGGCTCTCCACAATTTCCTGTCCTTTGTAGCTCTTAATAATTTTTTTTTTTTTATCGCCTCTAAACCTTGTTCCGCCATCCATTTACTCAAGCTCATTCTTCTTCTTCTTCTTCTTCTTCTTCTTCTTCTTCTATGTTCCGTCTCCCTTCGGGATGTAGACGATCATGGCTCTCCACAATTTCCTGTCCTTTGTAGCTCTTAATAATTTTTTTCTTTTTTTTATCGCCTCTAAACCTTGTTCCGCCATCCATTTACTCAAGCTCATTCTTCTTCTTCTTCTTCTTCTTCTTCTTCTATGTTCCGTCTCCCTTCGGGATGTAGACGATCATGGCTCTCCACAATTTCCTCTCCTTTGTAGCTCTTAATAATTTTTTTTTTTTTATCGCCTCTAAACCTTGTTCCGCCATCCATTTACTCAAGCTCATTCTTCTTCTTCTTCTTCTTCTTCTTCTTCTTCTTCTTCTTCTTCTTCTTCTATGTTCCGTCTCCCTTCGGGATGTAGACGATCATGGCTCTCCACAATTTCCTGTCCTTTGTAGCTCTTAATAATTTTTTTCTTTTTTTTATCGCCTCTAAACCTTGTTCCGCCATCCATTTACTCAAGCTCATTCTTCTTCTTCTTCTTCTTCTTCTTCTTCTTCTTCTTCTTCTTCTATGTTCCGTCTCCCTTCGGGATGTAGACGATCATGGCTCTCCACAATTTCCTGTCCTTTGTAGCTCTTAATAATTTTTTTTTTTTTTTATCGCCTCTAAACCTTGTTCCACCATCCATTTACTCAAGCTCATTCTTCTTCTTCTTCTTCTTCTTCTTCTTCTTCTCCTTCTTCTTCTATGTTCCGTCTCCTTCAGGGATAGACGATCATGGCTCTCCACAATTTCCTGTCCTTTGTAGCTCTTAATAATTTTTCTTTTTTTTATCGCCTCTAAACCTTGTTCCGCCATCCATTTACTCAAGCTCATTCTTCTTCTTCTTCTTCTTCTTCTTCTTCTTCTTCTATGTGCCGTGTCCCTTCAGGATGTAAACGATCATGGCTCTCCACAAATTCCTGTCCTTTGTAGCTCTTAATAAATTTTGTCTTTTTGTTATTTGTCCTATATCTTTGTTCCACTATCCATTTACTCAAGCTCACTAAATATGTTATGCATTATTTTCCTCTGTCCGTCTTGCCCTCGATTTGTCCTGTGAGTATCAAATTCTCCAAACCCTCTTTCTTCATTATATGCCCTAGAAATTTCAATTATCTCTTCCTGACATTAAGTATAAGTTTCCTTTTAGTTTCCATTTTCTCTAAAACTTTGTCATTGCTCACATATTCAGTCCATGGTATTCTCAATATCATTCTGTAGAACCACATTTATTTTTTCTGTTTTTTATTTATATACAAGGTGAAATGGATAAATTCTATTCTAAATCATGTAAAAATGAAAATAATACTGACATCACTTTTTAACAGATATACGGTCAATGACAAAATTATTTGTACACCCATCAAATTTTGAATATTTTTATCCATTTCTCAAAATCTAATGCCCATATGATGTCAGATTTTTTATATGTTAATAAGCACAAAAAAGAATATAAAACTCAATTTTTAGAACAATACATTAAATACAAAAAATTTGATAGGCGAATTATGCAAAATAGGAAAAGAAAAAATTATTCACACAGTATGAAAAATAGGAAAAAATGAACAATTTTCACATGTTAATAATCAATAGCTTGGCCTCTCATCTTTATAACTTGCTGCAATCGTTTTCTAAAGTTTTTGATGAGACTTGAACAAGTCTTTTCTGTATTTTTCTTCCATTCTTCAATGGTTACACATTCTAATTTCTTAAGGTTTTTTGGTGACCAACAATTTATTTGAGCTTTAAATTCTTGCCATGTATTTTAAATAGGATTCAAGACAGGACTCATTAAAGGCCTTGGCAGAACTGTATTCTTTCTTCTGAAGCAACACAGTCACTGAATTAGTTATTGTTGGAGCACACCCACCTTCTCATCAGAATGGACTGATCTCTCTACTACTAATAGGACAGTTCTATAGAGTTCTGAGAGATCAGGTGACCATCTCACTTCCATCTCTCTACCGGAAGATACAGTTGGACTTTATACTCTTTCTGATTGTTACTGACTAACCTGCGTTCGTTTGACTACTAATCTCTCTGTTGTAAATACCTCTTCAGATATACCAGTATTTTTCCCTACGTATGTGTTTGTCTTTATTTCAATACACGCACGGGGAAACACTCATCATCTCAGTTATGTTTGGGATCATTATCTTTCTCAAATGTAAATTGCTGATCTAGGTGAAGATTTTGCACTAATAGTTGCAGATTTTCATCCAGAATTTTTATATAGTCTGCAGATTTCATTATTCCTCTTATTGCAATTGATTGTCCAGTCTCCCTTAAGCTAAAACAACCAACAAAACATCATTGAGCCGCCATCCATGTTCTAACGTTGCCACTATGTTCTTTGGGAAGAAAGCCACACCATTCTTGCACCAAATCTTCTGTACATCTTTATGTTCAAAAAGCTCAATTTTTTTTTCATCACTCCATAGTACTTGTTCCCAAAAGCAATTTTCTTTGTCCAAGAATGTTTTGGCAAAATTAAACTGAGCAACAATGTGACATGGTTTGTGAAGATGAATTCATCTTGGTCTGTTTCCATACAACCCATTTCTATTTAAACAATGTTGTATTGTTTGAGTACTTACACTGATATCCATTGAAGCGAAACTTTTGATGATGTCTTTCAAAACAACTCTTGGCTTTATATTAATCTTGCAACAGTTTTTGTGAAGTTCTCAGTGATAATTTGGGTTTTCTTCCATTCCCCCCTCTCCAAAATCTCTGTCATGCCAAACTGTTTAAATTTCAACATCTTTTGTGTTACAAGGAGTTTTGTTGATCTCTCACTCAACTGCACCCCAAACATAATAATCAAGAGGGTTTGTTTTCTGGGGAGTTATGTAACTCGAGTTAGGGTGATATAGCTGCAGAAATTGTCTGACAGCCATGACTGGGTTTTCTTGTTTGTGTGACTCTAGTTGCCAGACATAGGGTCTTCCAACAGCCACCCTCTTGACCCAGGGCAGCACTAACTCCTCAAGGCACTTGATGTAGGTACCCATGTTGATTCAGGGGCCTTGTGGGAAGATGAATGAAGGCATAACATCACCATTGATAGTGATCACTTCAAACACCTTGATAATCACCATTAGACTCATCCAGCTCTTTCCAAATTCTCTGCAGTGTCCTCAGATTGACACCCAAACACTCTGAAATGTTTTTATTAGAGCTTCCATGAATGCCAAGCAGTACAGCATTTGAAAATTTCCAAGTTTCTGGCAGAATGAATTGTGTCATGGTGTTCTTTTCCTCACAGGCCAACTGACAACTACACTGTGCAGTCGATAAGATCAAAAACAAACACTATGCATGTGCAAATTTACCCATATATATATATATATATATATATATATATAAAAGTGGACATTGAATTCAACACCCAGAGATGAAAGACTGTTTCATGCTAAGCGCAATTGTCAGGCCTTCAACAATATTGAGCACTTCAACCCATAAATATAACATACCTTAATAATATATTTTATCACACACACACACACACACACATATATATATATATATATATATATATATATATATATATATATATATATATATATATATATATATGAGGTAAAACAAAGACTGAAAAATGTAACTGCAAATGTAAAAAAAGTCAATATATTTGCCAAGTTGTTGGATAATCTGCAGCTGATAGAGAGATTGGTTTAATTGTGCATGGTGGATATCACACCAGATTATGAACTGTCTCTCCCAGACACTGTAACAAAGGTCTGCTCAGTATACTTACAGTATAAACCAAAGTTGGCTCTGTGGATGCTGAGCAGAAATGTGACTGCAACAGGCATTAGTTAAACACCCAAACAGACAGGCATACTAAGAAATGAGTGTCTATTCATTAAAACCATCTTTATTAGTCACCATTGGTCCTGTTTGGCATCATTTGTGGCTGCCGACAGTTTTTGCATAATTCTGATATCTAAAACTTGTTACTACATCAGGGACAGAATATTCTAAGTTTCTGCACCAAACTTTATTTCTGTAGTCAAACGGTGTTAAATCCTGCCAATCTTCCATACTTTCAGGTAACACAAAGGGGTGTTATCTTGATGCAACTAACAAAACATAACAAGAATAATATCATGTAAATGATCTGCAACACAATCTATGTGTGATGTGAGCAATGACTCTCTACAACTTTCTATCCTTTATAGCTCTAAGTTTGTCTTTTTGCTATCTCTCCTAATCCCTGTTCTGCCTACCATTTGTACAAGCCTCTTCTTCTTCTTCCTTTTCCTCCTCTTCTTCTTCTTCTTCTTCTTCTTCCTCTTCTTCTTCCTTTTCTTTTTCTTCCTCTTCTTCTTCTTCTTCTTCCTTTTTCTTCTTCCTCTTCTTCTTCTTCTTCCTTTTTATTCTTCCTCTTCTTCTTTTTCTTCCTTTTTATTCTTCCTCTTCTTCTTTCTTTTTCTTCTTCCTTTTCTTCTTCCTCCTTTTCTTCTTTTTCTTCTTCTTCTTCCTTTTCTTCTTCTTCTTCTATGTGCTGTTTCCATTCAGGAGGGAAATGATTATGACTCACCACAATTTCTTAGCCTTTGTAGCTGTTCATAAAGATTGTTTTTTTGCTATCTCTCCTAATCCCTGTTCTCCAAGTCATTTACACAAGCTCGTTAGGCAGCAGTTATGCCCTATTCTCTTCTCTCCCTTTTGCCTTCAATATTTCTTGTGAGTATCAAATTTTCTAAGCCCTCTTTCCTCATTATGTGTCCTAGAAATTTCACTTGTCTCTTTCAGATACTATGTATAAGTTTCCTTTTTGTATTCATTTTCTCTAAAAAATTGTTATTGCTCTCATGTTCAGTCCATGGTATTCTCATCATCCTTCTGTAGAACCACATTTCTCTTGCCTCAATTCACTTCTTTATCTGTGATCCTACATGATTACAGTGCCCAAGTCAGTACACAGTACTACTGACAGAGTCTGGATCCATACAAAATGTCCCAATCTGCACAAAGGAGCTCAAAACATTCCTATGACTTTCTGTAACTGAGTTGTGTTTGGTGTAGCCGCTGGGAATTTCATAAGGTTTGTAAAATATCACATGCTGAATTGGAGTTTGATGTGGTGAGTGCACAGAGGGGGTTTCAGGGGAGTGTTGGGGATGAAGCAAGTCACTCACACATGAAGGAGCAAATCATTATCACCAAGAAACATGACAGACATAATGGGATATAAATAATCTACTGGTAGGTTGGATTTTCATGTAGCCTCATCTATACACAAACTCAACCATCTGCCTGAAAGAGCTTGAAAATTTATTCATCTGACCAGGTAACATAGCACACTTAATGTACAACAAATGGAAATGATAAAGTTTCCAATAAACAATATCAAAAGAAAGAAAAAAAAAAACAGGGCATAATATATATATATATATATATATATATATAGAGAGAGAGAGAGATATGTTTCATTAAATAATTTGAGAAATTTTGTATACTTATTTTCAATTGGATCCTTTCATATATCCATCACAGATCCTGGTAAAAATAAAATTAATTATATACTACACTAAATCTACTATAACTAATGCAATCATTCATAATGACTCTTCCCCATCAACTAACATGCAGCAGAAAACCAACATTGTCTATAAATTTAAATGTCCTTCCAACATTTGTAACAATATATTTGAACTTTTCATCATTTCTACAATTAAATCTTAGTTATAATCTCTTTCTATGTACCTCTGTTTGATTTAGCCTCTTCATAGTTAGCTCAGTCTTAATCTGTTCATATTTTAGTCTCGTCATATCTCTCTCTACATATCAATCTATTCATATCTGTCTTCTCATATCTATCTCAGTCTCCTCATATCTATCTGTCTCCTCACATCTATCTCAGGCTCCTCACATCTATCTATCTCAGGCTCCTCACATCTATCTATCTATCTATCTATCTATCTATCTATCTATCTATCTATGTTTCCTCACATCTATCTATCTGTATCCTAACAAATATCTATCTCAGTCTCCTCACATCTATCTCAGTCATCACATCTATCTATCTATCTCAGTCTCCTCACAACTATTTATCTGTCTCCACACAACTATCTGTCTCCACACAACTATCTGTGAGTCTCCTCACATCTATCTATGTTGATCTACTCATATCTTTCATTTCAATTGTATACACATGCAATTACTTTTGTTAATACATGCATTTGTTTTCATTGTTTTGTGTGATAATTTTTTACCCTCCCCCACTTTCACTAATCCATAAATGACTGATGTTATGAGAAAATATATATGCCTAATGAAAATATATTCTGGGGTAAGGGTCACTTGTACATTATCCTCCCTCCCCCCCCGCTTATTTTTTTCTTTCACTTTCTCTCTTTTAACTTTGTTCTTCTCTTTACTATGAAAACTATATTTTTACCCGGACTCACATGAGTTCACCAATATTTTTTGTGGGATAAATGTAGTAGGAGCATTAAACATTTATTAAAAAAAAGTACACACTCTCATGTCAAAAGTGTTGATTTCTACAACAAAGTAATGACCTATTTTTAACCCTACAACATACAACCTGCAACATATAAAAGATTGTGAGACATTTTGAGAAAAATTCTTTATTGGCTTGTTAGAACTATTAGATATACCTGTGTGTAGTCAAGGAATATACAGCTTTTGGCAATGCCAACTGGTAATTATTAGCAAAAGTTATTTGGCACATAAAAGGGGTAATTCCACAATTTCTTTTTCTTTGGTTGTAAATTGTGTCTGAGAGAACCAATGTTAACTTTTCTGATATTCCATTTTTTGCCTTCTGTGTCTTGCCCTTGTCCATAGTAATTTTTGTTTTCTGAATGCTCATTTTGTTCGATGTAGGAATATGATTTGTTCACAGCAAAAAGTGAGTTATATTGCAGGTTAGCTTTGCTGATATTTATCATTCTGTGATCGGGATAATGATTAATCTCAAAAGAAATTAATATGAATTTCTTTGTGTTTAAATAAAAAAAAAATGGCAAAATACCAGAAGATCACAGTTGACCTCTCTTCATAATGACATTAAAAAAGCTAAGTGCAAATGAATGTGATCTTCATTAGACAATCAGCTTAACAATCCATATAACTTATGATTAAGATTCTAATTAGTAGAACTTTAACAATTTAAAACTAGGAATAAGGTAAAGACAGTTTGATTTTGTTCAAGATACTGGAACAAGAAATGTCATCTTAAGACCATAATGTTATCAGAGCAAGAAATACAAATGCAAAAAACTTATCCCTATGTTTCATAGACTACATGAAAGCATTTGATAAAGTATGACACAAAGATCTACTTGAAATATTAGAATAGGTTGATTTACAAGAGGAAGATATTCAAGCAATCTGTAGCCTCTACCAGAAACAAATGGCTTGTCTGTAGATAGAGAAAGAATTTAGTACAAAAATAGAAAGAGGAGTGCAACAAGGACACATTTTCTCACCAGATTTATTGAACCTATACAGCAAAATGCTAAGAGATTGAGAAGATATAACAGGATTTATATTAGAAAACATAATTGTATCAACATAAGCTATGACAGTGCATTGATGATAGATACAGAAGGAAAACATAAATAATTTCTCAGACAATTTAATAAAGAAAAGAATGAAAAAAGGACTATTACTGTAAGAAGATAAAAATGCTTTGTTGTCAGCAAAAGAGACAACCCAAAACTGTGGCCTACATATTGGGAATGTCAGAATGAAACAGGTATTAAATTTAGCTATCTGTGTAGTTTATGGTTTAACAACAATTTTTGAGGTTATTTAAAGCCAGAAAATATTTTTGGATTGTAATAATTTTAGGGGAAGATAATAATGATTTTTTGATAACAGTCCTACTATTTAACCCTGAGCCTGGAAAAATGAGTTGGATTCATGCCTTTCCCAAGGGTATTAGTGAATAAGTTAATATACCAAACCCAACTGGAATTCAAACTCGGCTCTCCAAATTCAAATTCTGAACCATTATCCATTACATGCATGCTTGCAGCACCTGGTGTTCCCAAGGGGTCACCCATTTAGGTACTGACCAGGTTTGACATTGCCTAACTATGATAAGCCCAAAGTTTTAAGATATAGAAAAATATTATTAGAAACAAAGAAAAGGGTGCTTAACTGTTATGTGACATCTGGCTCACCTCTATGGCAAGGAATGTCAATTTCATCAGAGAGATGAAAAGAGTCAAAGTGACAGAGATGTGATACTACCAAGGAATATTAAGAATATCATAGACAGAACATGTGAAAAATGAGGAAGTCTTCTGGAAAATAGGAACAATAAGGAAATTTATGCATACAATCAGAAAGAAAAAGCTGAATTTTATGGGTTAAATAATGAGGAAAGAGGGCTTGGAGAATTTGACATTCACAATCATTGATTGATTTGTTTTTTTATGAATTATCAACACTTTGTGGGTTAAAGCAGAAACATATTTTAGATTGTAAAATACCATATACATTTGCATATCATGCAACTTTTGAAGACCTAATTTTGAAGTTAATTTTAAGAGGGTTGCATCATACATGAGATATAAAGTTGGCCTTTGTACTGCTGGCCCTGGCTACCCAGTTGACCAAACTATATATCCATTTACTGTAGTCAAATTAGCCTCAAAATTAGGTCTTCAAAAGTCACACGATATGCTAGTATATACAGTAATTCTTTATTTTTGCGAGTTACTATTGCATTAACAATTTTTTGAGAATAGCAACAATTTTTACAGATGCAAGTCTTACTATTTAACCCATAACTGTGGGTGGAAGTGGATTCATGCCTAAAGGTATTTGTGCATAAGTGAATGTAGCTAACCTTATTCACAGGTAAGAGAAACAAGAGAAACAGCAGGTAAATTACTTAATGAGTTTGTGTGAATAGATGGCAGAACAATGAGTGTTACAAAAGAAAGGAAGTTGTGGAGAGTTATGATCGTTAACATCATGAAAGGACTTAGCAAATAAATGGAAAAATGAGAATGTCACCAATTTTTTTTCTGCTTTGAAACTTTTAATTTCAGACAAAACAGTTTTAAAATACTAAATGATAAAGTGATAATTTTTTAGCCTCCACCACTAATCCATAAATGACTGATGTTATGAGAAAATGTTGCTTGATGAAAATATATTCTGAGGGTAAGGATCACTTGTACATTATCCCCACCTTATTTTTTTTTTTTCTTTCATTTTCTCTCTATTAACTTTGTTCTTCACTTAATTATATGTGGTAGCATACCTACGGACATAAATACAGTATTAAATACTGTATGTTGGTCTGCAGTTGGAATTCACTTGACTCACTTCTAGCATTTGATGACTTCTACACACCACTGGTGAATCTTATATGTCTTGTTCTTGTCCTAAGTATTATTTTTCATTACCAACCTTCATTTGATTATTCTATTCAGTAACCTTCCCTAGGTTACAACATTATGAAAGCAAAACAAAAGTTTATATAACCTTTTCTTTTCTCTGATAACTTATTTTATCTACATCTGTCTTCTTGATACCTACACCTCTGGGCCAACCTGAGGGATCTTGTTTTTTTTTTTCCTTGACTTTTCTTTTATTCTCCTTTTATCTAACTTCTATACTCCTTCTTTTCAAAATATGTTTTCATTTATTCTTCAAACATGACCCTCTGTGGTGATAAAGTTTGTTTTTTTTCTTTTCTTTTTTTCATTAGTATTTGTTTGTAACTTCTTTCTTTCCTTTGTATAAGTGACATGTACAAGTTTTCTTCTTTTTTTCTCCCTAGCTCAAAAGAGACAAGAGCTTAAATTCTCTAACCCTGGCTAAATCATGTATCACTTCAACATGACACTCTAACCTAAAAGTGACCTAGGGTTAAATCTGGTAGAAAGAAGCTGAATATGACCCCACATTCATAACTGTCAGAAGTCAATTCTTTCTTCTATCTCTCCAATGATATTTATTGAAAACTGAAACAAAATATATAAATTACCCGTCACTTTATTCCATAAATTCCCAGGTCTAACAACCTTGATACTATATTTCAGTTGAATTTACTTATTGTTTATATATTTGATATCTTTCTACTTCTGGTCAAATCCCACTGAAAACAACAGTACTTGTTGGATCACCAAAATCAAACGGTGTCAATCGCAGTCAGTACTTAGTTGGTGTTCTGCTTGGGAACACTAAATCCTGTAAGCAATCCGAAATATGTTTTGGCTTTAAATAACCCACAAGCCCAGTCAATACTTAGTTGGTGTTCAGCTTAGGTAACACATCCGGTGTTACCTAAGCAGAACACCGACTAAGTATTGACTGTAAGCAATCCGAAATATGTTTTGGCTTTAAATAACCTACAAGCCCAGTCAATACCTATTTGGTGTTCTGCTTAGGTAACACCGGATACTATAAGCAATCCAAAATATATTTTGGCTTTAAATAACCCAAAAGCCCAGTCAATACTTAGTTGGTGGTCTCCTTGGGAACACCGGATACTGTAAGTAATCCGAAATATGTTTTGGCTTTAAATAACCCACAAGCCCAATCAATACTTAGTTCATGTTCTGCTTAGGTCACACTGGATACTGTAAGCAGTCCGAAATATGTTTTGGCTTTAAATAATGAAGAGTAAGCGTTCTCAAAGCAAATTTGTGGCTTTCACAACACAAAGAAAGAAAATCACTTGTAACGCGTCAGGAAAGTAACTCACGAACGCCGTAGCCAAAAATGCCCGAATTTTCCTTCTCCGAGTCGAAAACACCAACTGCTTTTATCGGCAGAACCTATTTTTTCCATTCGTCGACAGCCGGGATAGGATGCTCCGTAATTTGCATATTAATATACTCTTATAGCGACTCCTGCGACGGACTTGTTTCTTTTTCGTCACAGAATACACGCGACGCGCTGTCGCTTGGGTTGACGAGATAAGTCGCTATAAGAGATTTGCTGACTACTTTTGGCAATCCCTCCCCGGCAGATCGCACACAAAACACGAACTTTTTTCCGGGGTACTTGATTATTTCGTTCACTACACTCCCCTGTCACATAAGTGACACTCATGGGCAGACCCTCTTTATTCTTAAGCTTCTCCGGGCTGGGCGACTGTTGGAGGAGATTGTGTGTCATATTCTGAGG